TACTACTAACTACTACTACTAACTACTACTACTAACTACTACTACTACTACTACTAACTACTACTACTAACTACTACTACTAACTACTACTACTACTACTACTACTACTACTAACTACTACTACTACTTACTACTACTGCTACTACTTACTACTACTACTTACTACTACTGCTACTACTACTACTACTACTCACTACTCACTACTAACTACTAACTACTAACTACTAATACCTAATACCTACTACTACTACTACTACTAATACTACTACTACCGTCATTAACCCAAACCAAACACCTCAGAATTATGTTGCTGCACGAGGTGGAGCTAAAAAGCGGCGAGACCATATTTTCCCAAGCGTAGAGGGACACGAGGCGAGGTGCTTTTCTCCCCGGGGATGCGAAGTCCAAAACGACACGAGGGACACGAGGGACACCATGCACAGCCCACGATGGGACACGAGGGCGATGTGGTTTTCGTTTTCGATTTTTTTGTTCGATTCATTTTCCCCCCAAACATGGAGCCGATGGAAACTGAGACGCAGTGTCCTTCTACCCTCGGAATGTCCTGCCTCCACCGAAACGCTGGGGTCCGGAACTGGTGGGTCACACCCCAAGCCCATTGCATCGGGTTCCGGAGGTTCATTTTTTGGGACTTACCCGCATCCAAATGGCTCTGCACCTCCGAACCAATCCTTGTCGTCGCCCGCACATCCTTGGGTTCCAAGCCTTTGGTCGAATGGCAAGTCCACTTGGAACAAGAAGCTACGAACGGGGCTCCTGGCATCGCGACTCGAGTTCGGAGCGATCGGACGCTACGAGGGCCGGGGCGACCCTGGCCTTACTACGAACGGAGCAAGGTTCGCTATACAAGATCAGGTCGCCGCAGTTGACCTGACTTCACCCCAACAGAACATCGCTCTACGTCGATCGCGTCATGGCAGTCCGATGGCCGTCCGGAATCGGCCAAGGACGAGGCGGTCGGATGCTGGACGCTGGTGACTTGGCTGGCAGAGTCGACCAATTTTGAACACATGAAAATGTAGAATGCTGATGAGTAGAACCCCTTCATTTGGATTGTAAAGCCTGTTCAGATCATTATTAGGTTCCCAGTTGATCCTTCCCATACGAGGGTCTCAACCTTTTATTTGGCCACCGCTTGGTTGGCTTGCATGGGCTGTCATGACACTCCGATCACCACCGTACATATTTCGGTCGGACACATGCTGATCATTATACTCATTGGTCACATGGCCTTCGTTCGTGAGAGAGAGAACTTCAAAGATTTCGCTCGCAGGTTTGGTGCTCTACTCTGGGCTGGTGGTCCTCTTCATTTGGCGATTCCTTTCAGGCAGTCGCTCACGGTGGCGCGCGCCCTGCGGGCGGGCGGAAACCGCGCGCGGAAACCGCTGCGCGAGCCCGCTTCGGGAGCCCGCTTCGCTTCAGGCAGTCGTGTTTGGTGGGTGAACCCTGCTAGGGACTGCAACTCTGTGCTGAGAAATGCTTTAAAGACTCAGCTCCATAAGACAAGAGATGAGGATGTGAGATGGCCAAAGCGAGCCACAGCAGTAGGCGAATTCGATTCATGAAATGGACCCGATCACCAACTATTTCAAGACCATTTCAGGATCATCCTGGACATGGGTGTCCTGGCAGGCGTTCGACTACCCTACCCTATACAGGTCTCCTACTCCGCACCCATGGCGAGTGCCTCGTGCCTCGTGCGTCGCTACTAGCGTCGGGTATCTTCTCGTTCGAAATCGAACCGGTTCGAAAGTTCCATGGCCGCCGCAGGATGGAGACTCTGTGGAGCTTGGATGGAATATGCCAACTACTGCATGTGCCTTGGAGCGAGCCGGATCCACCCGTATCCACGGAGTGGTGACCATATCCGCTAGACAAACAGTGATAAAGGGGGGGGGTTCAAGATGGTTCATACAATGCTTCATGAGCCTCCCTAAATGGGGAGTTAGCCCTGAGTTGACATGGTAAATATACGGCCTAAATTATTCGATTCTATCTCCAAACAGGAGAAGTGGATCGCATTGCAGGATCCTTGGCTTTTCCACCCTTTTTTTGGCTTGGCTTTTCCACCGTCAGACACGGTTTCTGAACGGACTGCCTCCTGGAGGTCGGACAGCGCATTGGCTGGCCCGTTTTCGGAAGCGCACGACCTGAAAGCACGACCTGAAAGTCGGGCGAAAGTGCGACTCTTGAGGGACTCTGCCAAGCTGATCTAAGCTGTCTCCTATAGAAGTCTAGTTTGATGATGCTTTTCTTCCGTAGGCGCCCATTTCAGCGGGCTCGGATGGAAGGGGGTCTGTTTCAGCGGTGCCCAGTACGATCAGCGTCGACATGTGCATGGCTGTGGATCAAAACCCGGACCACAAAAACAGCCTAGGTCAATGCAACAAAAGCAGCTAGACTTGAAAGCTGCAGCCCTCATCGGCCGGAGGCTTCTCTATATGCTCCTGCTAGTCTTGAACGTCTATGGAATTTATACCTTCATTGAGTTGGCGATGCAGCCCGAAGGCGGGCAGCGGTGGGTCGATCAGCCAAACGCTCGCTCTCTCACGCGGCTGGGGGCTCGAGCGCACCGCGCGGTTCGCTCGCCTCGGCGCGGTGCGCGGTTCGCTCTCTCCGATGGCGGTTCGAGCGCGGTTCGCTCGCCAGGTCAGAAGGTTTTTCAGTCGCTCCCGCGCTGGATGAAGCCACTCATGCGGGGGCGGCCCAGGCGCTGCGCGGCGCGGGGCGAACGAAGCGGTTCGCGGCGCGGCGGGCGAACCGGCCGAGGCTGGGGACGCCCTTCGCGGCAGTGGTCACATACCTGTTGGCCTTCATCCAGTGGCTCGGAACGGTGCGAAGTAGCGTGGGATGTTGAGCAGACTTGGTATGGGGGGGGTGGAGACAGACTCAGTGCTGAGTGTTCTGCATCAAACGCATGTAAAAAAGGCCTTTGATTTGGGCGGATGGAACCATATGATCTTCTATTTTAAAGCTTTGCTGTCTCCTGTCTCCTTCAATATCTGCAATAAGAATTGGAGGTATAGACTATAGATGCATTCAAGTGGTTCACTTGGCCGGGTTTGAAAGGCTTGCCGCACATTCCAAAGTGACCTGCGTGAACCTTTTGTTCGGTCAAATCAGGAGTAAACACCGTGCATAGGGCGACCCCCTGCCGTGAGTCCCTCGCCAGCCATGCCAAAGAAATGCTCCTGCCATGGGCTGCTATGCTGCGCTTGCCATGCGCTGCCTGCCATTCCGTTCCCCTTTTTGCTTCTCTTAGGACCGGGCAACATGTGAACGAGATTCGCAAGGGCCAGGGCACGCTGAAACACGCCCCTCGGGGGGGACTTCGTGTTCGGTCGGAGGTTCGGGAGCGGAGCTAAGGGGGGCCCTGGATCGTTTTGGGAAGGTGGGCTGATCCTTTTTGCGGGAGCTATGTGGGCACTATGGGATCCGGGATTACTTTGGTACAAAACTCTTTTGGGACTCGATTCTGGTGAATAGAACATGTGATTAAATAGTCACGAAAGCTAGCCTTAGCTAGCTGGAGTTGCTCTTGCTTTAGCAAGTTAAGTGACGGGGTGGACGCACCTCAGAAACCTCAAAT